TTCCAGGACTTTGTTCACTTATTACTTCTGCCCAGAAAGAACTCTTCATCAGCCCGGGGCTCAGGCGAGCCCAAGCCACACGGAATTTACTGGACAAAAACTGGGCAGCTCCGCTTCGGGGGCAAGGCTGGGCAACCGAGCCGGAGCGGGAGCAGGACCGGGCATCCCGATCCCTAGGCGAGGCCGCAGATCTGCCCTCGTAAGGCGCCGGGCCACTGCTTTGTGTTGTTTCCATTTCCTGCCCTTTGTCATCTTTTTTGCGAAACTTTTCCACAGGCCCCAGCCAGAGAGCCTGTTTCTTCCTCCCCCTCCCACTGACAGCCCCTCCCAGCCAGACTGCTTGTTCCTTGGGGGTCAAGTTCTCAGGTCCGTGGAGTCCATCACATTCACTCAACATAGGAAACCAAGACGGATTATGGATAGATAAATGCATTCCTTTGACCAAATTCTTTGACGTTCATGCATTACCAAAATGAGGAGGAAACTGCTTCTTTTCCTGTTCCACTGCTCGGCTTAACGGCAGTGTCAAAGCAGCCTGTGGGTGAATTCGGCTTTTAAAATCACTGACAAAGCTTTTAAAGAGCCCAGGAACTTGCAAATAACAGCTACAGAAGGTTGTGATTAGCATGGAGCGAAAAAAAGAGTCGCTTGACCTCCAGGCGCCCTTCATTAAAAAGTGGGATAAGGGGAGTGGCCCCGGAGCATTTGTCACTGATGAGACCCCGGGGCGTGGAGCACTGGGGAGGTGAGAAGGAAGAAACCTCCGCAAGTACAAGCTGCTGTAATGACGGTCTGGCCAGAGATCCCGTTATATATAAACTCCCTCTGGTGACCAATTTAGCACACTGTACACAATGTGTTTCGAATTAATTGGTTTCTCAGCCTCTCAGGAGCCTGGGAGCTGCCAGTGGCAGTGGATTTGCTTCGCTGCCATGAACACATTGTCCCCTCAGGGATGTCCTGCCATCTCTTCAATCCCACGCCCTGTCCCAGCACATGGACTTGGTTCCCTTGTAAAAGTTGGAGGCCGGCTGTCTCTCGGGGGACAGTGCGCCTTGACAGCGGCGGTGGCTGCGTGTGCCGTCGGACGGGGCGCGTGGGCTCTGCTGGGGGCGTCCAGGGTGCCGAGAAGTGGGGGGAGGAAGTGGGGACCGCAGCGGGGACGTGGCTCTCTGAACGCGGGCTCAGCCCCCTTCGGTCATCGGGGGGCTGGTGTTGCACAGTTGGGGGAACATCATCATCGCCGGCCTTAGATCTCGGGAGGGCAGGTAAATGGTCCTAGGAAGCAAAGCTGGGACTGGTTTCAGCTCCATGAAAACAAAAAAGCAAACAAAACCCCCTTTCCCTAGTCAGACTGTCACATGTGGAGCAGGCACCTTCTGGACGTCACGAGTGACCTCACACAGACACAGAACCTGTGCTGGCCAGGTTCTTGGTTGTTGACATCTGGGTCTAGTCCACTCAGTGTTCACAGAAAAGTCTTGACGGCGGACTGGCACTGAGCTCCGACTCCGCCTCCTCCCAGAGGCTGGGCCGCTGATGCCTGTGTTCCCCGGACCCGCCGGCAGCCCGCCTCCGACAGGCTTGCCCAGGGGTGCGGGTAAGGGGCAGCCCCGACTCTGCCGGGCCTGTGGATTCTCGGCGGCCGCTGCAGGACTTCCAGTGTCCGGTCGCCAGCGTGAGGAGCAGCAGGGAGGCAGCGCGCGGCATCCCTGGGAATGACCGCAGCAGAGACTCTGGAGCTGCCGCAGGGCCTGGGGTTTTTGGCCCCGGCGGCGGCCCGATTGGCATGGCTTCGTCGACAGGCAGGCCTCCACTTGTAGTGGCATTGTTGCGGAGCCCGTTGCCACCACAGCACAGATGCGGGGACAGCTCCCTCGAGGCCTCTGGGAGTGTCCCATGCAGCCTCAACCTACGGGGGGGGGGTGCCCTCAGCTCCCCATTAACTATGGAAGCCCTTTCATACCCCATAGAGAGTCATTTTCTGCTTAAACGAGCCAGTCGTGAGTCCATCCCCTGCACCACAGCCCTGGCCAAAGCAGAGAGGGGTGCGGAACGTAAGGAACCACCGGGACTCTCTCCGGACTGAGCTGAGGGGAAGGGTTCACAAGCTCCCCTGCAGAACTGGGCTGCCAAGGGTGACGATCAGGGGCTGTCCCCGCCACCCCGTTCTGCTGGCAGATGGGTGCCCATGGCCTGCTGCTTTCTGCCCACAGTTCCGCGCTGAGTCACGGTGTCACATGCGTGCATTTGACCAGCAAGAAAGAAACCAGGTCCGGACCTGCAAGGGAGTCTCAGAAACGTAGTGGCTGGTGGTCCAGCCGCTGCAGACCAGAAAGGACCCCTGAGGCGTCCTGAGCAGACCCTACCTGGGCTGGGTTCTCTTGGAACGGTTCCCTTTGCCGCTACGTTGAGCCCAGCCCAGTGCTCAGTCAGATCAGGGTGATGTATCTTCTCGGCAGGAGACGAAGTCTTCGGAAGGCCCCGGGCACTTGTGATGTGAGGCTTTAACGTTATGAGCTTTAGAAGACTGGCCTCCGTTTAGAAGACAGTGCTGGCCCTCAAGCCTGACCCTGCTGCCCAGCCAGTGCCCGACGGCCCTTCTCAGAGGAGTTGCGCAGCGTCCTGAGTGGGGCGAGCTCTTGTGGAACTGGTCAAGCCTTGCGGGATGGTGGCTTTGAAAGGGCCATCTGGGTGTCTTGTTTTTATTGCCACATTTGAGGGCCCAATGGGGAATGTCATTCCCTTATTTTTCCCTTAGTGTCTCTGGAACTATACTAGCAAGGTCCCACACTCCTTCTCTGTCTATGTCACTGGGACAGACAGAGGGACACTGCTCCGCACGGCTGCCCCCCAGAGGCTGCTTCCCCGATAGCAGCCCAAGCTGTACCTCCAAACTTCACCGTGAAGTTTCTGGGCACTAACCAGGGCTCTGATGCAAACCAGCTCTGAAGAGCTGGGAACAGACAGGTTGTCCCCAAGGGTTCCACTCCTGGAGACCAGGCCGCTGCTGACATCCCCAGAAGGGACGCGGGGCTGGAACCTGGACTCCCATCCCCGCTCAGCTCATTCTTTTGACCTCAGGGTCATTCTTTTCCCCTTAGGAAAGGAAATGGGGGTCTGAGGAATGAGAGTGTTTCTATTTCTTCTCTGTCTTCTCATACACAATTCCAGGGATATTCTTCTGCACTGCAAGCCCGCACTGAGCTTCTTAACCTAAACTGCTGGCAAAAAACTGGGATTTCAGCGAGTTTCCAAAAACTTTTAAAGTGGGGTGTATTCTTAGCTGCTAAAAGGAAAAACCTCCTACCACATTCCATGTGACCAGATCGGTACAACACATGGTTACGGGCTGTGTGTGTACAATGGTTCGCTTTGACGTCACGTGCTGAGGGCCGGCAGCCGACTGTCCTCACTTCACCTGTAACCAAGCTCAGCAGTAGCTCCCGTGGAATGGCAGCTGTCTTTGTTTATCATGGTTTTAATTTTTCAAGATATGGCATTTATTTGGGAACTATCAAAAATCAAACAGGGTTGCCTTGTGTAGAATTAAAACGTAGACTGGCTCTTGCTGGATGAGTTACTTGGTTGGAGCATCATCCATCCCATACACCAAAGGGTTGAGAGTTCGATTCCTGGTCATGGCACATACCTAGGTTGTGGGTTTGATCACTGTCAGGGTGCAACCGGGAGACAGCTGATCGATGTCTCTCTTTCTCCCTTTCTCTCTCTCAAATCAGTAAACATATCCTTGGATGGGATTTAAAAAAAATATAGTGGAAAAATATGGTAGCGCTCTGGGCTTAGTTTATTGAGAGGCTATCCTGAGATTTAGAAAGGTGTAGGCACCTCCGCCCCACCCTTCGTAATACCTGAGGCAAAGCTGTGCATGGTGAGAACGTGGGCTCTAGAATCCCACAGACTCAGGCCTGAAAACCCTGCTCTGATTTTAGATTATAGAGATGGCTGTTACCGAAAGGGAACTAAGTGAAATCCCGTGTCGCCAGACATGATGCACTAAAAAGGACACATCATTGAAGTAGCGTTCTGCCAGAAGCACACCATCTAAATTCAATCCCGAAGAAACAATCAGGCCAGCCCAATCTACAGGGCATGCTGCACATACACAGGTCGGTACCCTTCAAAAATTGTCCATGTCATAAAAGGAAACATAGGGCGTAGGGCTTGCCTTTTAGTCTCCTAAAGAGGCACGGTCGCCAACGCAGTGATCGACCCTGAATTCGATCCCAGATGGGGGGGGGAGAATTTCTATTAAGGACAAGATTGCGACAACTGGCAAAATTTGAATATAGATTATAAATTAGATAGTATTAGTACAGCAATGTTAAGTTTCCAGATTTTTGATCATCGCACTGTGGTTCCGTGATTTTCCTGTTCTTAGGAGCCCCAAGGTGAAGAATTCACGGCTGAAGGGCCAGGGAAACCGGGAGAAGCCAGAGCCCCGGGTGCATCACTACCCGGCACACCAAGCTGGTGGGAAGCTGAGGCGGCAAGCCCTTAGGGGCAGGCACAGAACACCGGGGGTCTGGTTTGACGGAAGGGTGTTCCTCTACGAGGGGACAGAGCGAGTGGAGGAAGGGCCGGGGCTGCCCGCCGGAGAGAAGGCGACGGAGTCGGAAGCCTGGTGACCGCCACTGGGAACAAGCAGGCAGGAGAGATGGACAGGCTGCAACGCAGGCGAACCCGGACCATCACCAAGGGAGGCGAGGAGCCTCGTCTCCGCCCGATGCACCCCGCAGACCTCAGCCCCAACTGGTCACCCGGGGCCGCAATGAGTAACGGATCGCGAAGCGGGCCACGCTGAGAACATCCACAGCGGTGCCTCCCAACGTGAGGATCGCGCGAGAAAAACGCCTTCCCCTTAGCTCCGCCCCCCTCTTTCTTTGTTTCCTCGTCAGGAGATCTCGCGAGAGCTGGGCGGCAAATATCGCGAGCACGGAATCGGACTGGCTCTGCGGCTCTCGCGGTGTTTGCGCGAGACTGCTCCCTTCCTTCCTCCCGTCCCAGTCGGCCGCCTTCCTCCCCTTCCCCGGCCGGCCTCCCCTTCTTCCCCGCAGACCATTCCTGCGGGCTAATATGGTCTCCGGAGATGGACGAGCCAAGCGCAGGTCAGTGCCGTCCGCCACCTCGGGTCTGGCAGCTGCAGGCGCGCGGTCCGGCACCGGGTCCCTACGTGTCGCGCCTGGAGTCACCCGGTCGGCGCGCGGGCCTCGGGCTCCGGTCGCTCTCGGGGCCTGCCCGCCGGACCCACTCAGCGCCCGGCCCACAGCCGCCTGGCCCCCGCCGGCTCTTGCCCGCTTGAGAGTCGGGGAGGCCCGCTTGTTAGACGGTGGGGCGGGGGCGGGTCTCCGTGTCCCTCCCCGCCTCCTCGCCCCGGGAGCGGAGTGGGAGGCGGTCGAGGCCGGGTGCCGGTGGGACAGCCCGGGGCCGCCTCCGCGTCCCCGGCTCTGCCCCGTCCGGACGGAGCGGAAGGCGCTGCGGGCTCGGCTCTGCGCGTCTGCGTCGCGGGCCGAGGGCCCGCACAAAGGACCGGAGGGTGCCTTCCGTCGAGGCCCCCGCGCCCCTCCCCGAGCGCATCCGGACCCCGAGGTCCCACGCTGTGTGGTTCAGCCTCAGTTTGTGCAAAACCTGGAAGACACGTCTCATTTAGGGAGAATCTGCCCTTTTATTCCTATCAGCACCTATTGAGGTGTTTACCTGATAGGTGTTCGGTTGGGTTTGGTTGTCCACGTTGTTAAACGCTCTGTCAAAATCTTGTCTTTCGACTCTTTCTTTAATTAGTCCTTCCAACGTAACTGTGCCGTTTTCAAACGGCTGCGTCCGTCCCTACGAAACATCCAGGACGTGTCTTCCCTCAACATCTCTGTGCCTCGTTTAAATTATTCTCATCTCCAGGTGTCCTTTGTTAACACATTCCAGCAGTTGTGTTACCAGTTTGCACTTGACAAGAGTGATGGTTGAGAGCCGGATTGTCCAATGCCGTGGACACCAGCCCCATGTGACTACTTAAATTAAAATTAATGAAAATTAAATAAAAATTCGGTTGCTCAGTCGTTGTAGCCACCTTTCAAGAGCTCAGTAGCCACATGTGGCTAATTGGACAGGGCAAATAAGAGAACATTTTTATCATCGCAGAAAATTCTGTTGGACAAAGTTGATTCCCAGGGGTTTTTTACTTTGAATAATGTACTTTACAACTGTTTAATGACAGTGTAATTTTTTTTCCCCCAGGATACACCTTTGAGTACCTTATTGAAGCATTGAATGACAGTTCAGGCAAGAAGTTCTTCAATGTACCTAAACTGGGAGGCCCCAAGTATGGTAATGTTGCCTACGTTTTCTTGGGTTTATTTAATTTCTAATAATAAAAATGCATTTGTCAAGCGGAGCTGAAGAAATTTGAAATCTATTTCCACAGTGTTGTAACAGGTACAATTGCACTTCTCTCTAACATTTTAAAAACTCCTCACGGGACAACTTTTGTTTGAGAAAGATGTGAGCTTATACCTTCTCATGTAAAAATCGAAGGTCATGAGGCAGTGATTCTTAACCTAAAGAAACTACTAATGCAGTTAAAAAAAAAAAACTTGTTGACATTCTACAGCAGTCAATGGTACATTTTAATTTTTTACGTAATAATGTCCGCAGTTCTTTATTGCCATCCTTTGACTGGGAGCGCTCAGCAGGGCGTGCCTGGCCGGGCGCCGGCGCTGCCCGCTGACCTCTGCGGGCACCTGACCCGGGTCGGACCTTTGACAGAGGTTTCAGAAGAGTGAACTTGGCTGAACCCAGGGTATTGGATGGGAGTCTTGACTTTATTGACAATCGAGTGACGTTTTCAACCAGGCCACTGAAGGGAAGACCTGTGGGAAGAGTGATGATTATTGTCAGGCTTTTAAAAACTACTGGAAGAGATAAATGCCAAATATATGACAGTCAACTTTGGAGGGTGGCTTTGTGAATTTTTTTTTTTTATATTTTATTGGCCTCGAATATTCGAGACTGCCACAAGCAGTATTTTCTTATACATTGTGACAGACAATTTAGATGTTTTGGAGTATCTTACAACATCCTTGCCTTAGAATTCTGTTGCCTAAAGAAACAGCCAGTTCACCAAATCGGCGATCTCGTCAGTGATCTGGAGCGGCCTGTCTGGCACTCCAGGGACCGGTGAGGACCTTAGAGATTGTGAGTGATTCTTTCAAGAAGATCTTTGAATGTGAAAACATACCTCATTCCAAGGAGGGAAGAAATCCCTGTCACCTGGTAAAAGATACTTTTCCGAAGGAGCTGGGGCTGGAGTTGATGTCACAGAGGGCTGTGGAGGAAGCCAGCCCCCGGGAACGAGGCCGATCAGCACAAAGCACAGACCTGCCGAGGGAGGGGGCCAGCGGGGGGCGGGGCCTGCTCTGGTGACAGGTCCCGCAGTGGCTGTGGGGGCAGCGGGCCCTCGGCCGGCCCTGTCTCAGCCCCTCTTCACTTCGGTCCTCTCACTCACCCTTTCGTTTTCCTCCCTAATTGCCTGTGCTTTTAACCACGGGACTGGTTAGTTCTGCAGCACAGCCAGGACTTGGCTTTCCAAATCTGAAAGAAAATCTGTTATTTAATTTTTTAGGAAAGTTCTTATACTTTGTAAGAAATTAGCCATGGCTGGTGTGGCTCAGTGGATTGAGTGCCGGCCTGTGAACCGAAAAGTCGCCGGTTCGATTCCCAGTCGGGGCACAGGCCTGGGTTGCGGGCCAGGTCCCCAGTAGGGGCGCACGAGAGGCAGCCACACATGGATGTTTCTCCCGCATGTTGATGTTTCCCCCCATCCCCGAAATAAATAAATATTATAAAACATTAGATTGGGGTTGAGGATCATGAAAAGAACATTACAGAAAGCGCAGAAACTGGCTCATCGTGCGCATGTATGAATACGTGCGAATGCACGTAAATGTCCTGTTGTAACACAAATGCAGTACATGTCGTATACAGCCTTTTTTACTTAACACATCGTGAACATCTTTCTGTGCCACTGAATACAGGCGTTCCTTGGTTTCCGAGTCGGAGGGTAGTTCTGGGAAAGGAGACTCTTGGCTTCCCACTGCCACATGGGGCTGCCTGTGTGAGTGTGTCTGGGTTTGGTTAGCAGTCTTTGAATACTGAGGATGTTACCAACTTCTTTCTATTTCTAAGCACAGCTGCTGTGCGTGTGTAGTATTTACATTTTGATGTAAGCTTATTATATAGAGTTTTTGGATTGAAAGTGTGCTGTTTCCTCCTTCCCCAACAAATGCTTTTGTTCTTACACTTTTACTTTACGTATATTATCTGGTCCCGTCTTTACTCTTGAATATAAGGAACAAAAACTCACTTAACTTAGCACCCTTGTAAAGAAGATGTTGTTGCAGTTTTCACATCCAAGGACAGGAAGAAAGCACAGTGAAGCCTCGTGGGAACCAGACTTTCTAACCGGAGTCTGCCTGCTTGTCCCTGGAAGGTTCCGTGGTCGTCTTTCCTTTTGGACGTCAGCTCTCCACCCTTCCGCCTGCAGTGCACTGTGCTCCCTCTCTCCGGACCGCGTCTGGCACGGCCATTGCCCGCCGTTCTTGTGTGCTGTGCGGGGTTCACCAGCCCGTTAGGGCTGCACCCCTGGAGGACGCCTTCAGCTGCGGTGTGAGCCCGGCGTGGCTGGGCCCATCCGGTGTCCGTTGCTGGTCCAGCCATCTTGCTGGAACGTGGGCACGAGCCCGAGTTTTCCCGTCTGGTCTCTGCCCTGTGCCCGGGAGAGGGCTGGGTGAGGGTCGGGCAAGCAGCGAAGTGGCTCGTGATGTTTGCACGTGCTCCCTGACTTGGTAGCACGATCCTGCTCCATGTGCTGCCATGCGCTCCCCAGCCGCCGCCTTTGTCTGGGGGCGGTTGGTCTTAACTCGGCTTTTGTGGACAATTTTTGTTCCAGGTTAGGCCTTTCGATAGTGAAGAAGGGACGCCCACTACATCAAGTGAAGACAGATTCATTGTGTGGTGCAAAACTCCCAGGCCAATGAAATGTGGGACTGGATCTTAAGAAAAAGGGTTGTGGGCCAGGATTTAGGAAGCTCCTTATTTTTTCTCTTGGGGCTTCAGATCCCCCCGCCTTCACCCCCTTCCCTCCCTCTACTTCATGGCAGACGGGCCTCTGCCTCCCAGCTCTGTGCGGGGCCCTTTACAGCAGCTGGGCCCTCAGCCTGGCTCCAGCACCTTTGCGGTGCGGGCTGTGTGCCGATGCAGGTGCTGGAGTGACGGATCTGACGGTCCCAGCGTGTCTGTCCTCGCCAGGCAGGTGGGCACTGACCTGCCGAGGGCTCGGTCCTGCCTCAGCGCTGTAGCCAGGGAGCTGGCGGGACCCGGGGCCTGTGCTCTCCCTGGGAGCAGTTTGGACAGGCTCCATGGGAGCAGACAGCGCCGGGTCGAATGCCTGCCAGGATGCGTGAGAAGAGTGTCTGCACCTTCATCAGCCATATTGATACTCTTTTCCTGTTTCCTCTGGGTTTTTTTTTTTGGTCAGTGAATGGAAAAAAAAATCCTAAGCAGGAGTCTGTTACCTCTTTCTCTGCCGCCTTAGACTCTCTTGCGGGGGGGGGGGGGGGGGGTCTTTTAAAGGTGGATCTTATTTGGGAATCAGGGCTGCGCAGCCTGGTCCTGGCGGGCGTGCTCGGAGCCACCCTGTCACCAGGGCCTCCAGGACAGTGTCGTGTCTGGTCTCCGGGTTCCTGGGCAGAGCAGGGCCCTCGGGTGCTGCTCCCGGGGCCTCCGGCCTGGAGTCTGGTGCTGCCCCGCCCCCCTCTGGTGCGGTTCTCTATCTGGTTCCGTTTCTCTAAAGCCGCTTGCCTGCCTGCTGTTACTGCTGATGCCACCTGTGGGTGATTTCTTCATCTGGAATTTCCCCAGACCCTTTTATATGATCTCTGTCTTCATGGCATTGCTCTGTGATAGGGAAGACAGTCTTATCTTCACTTAGTACAGACGAGGAAAAGGAGTCCAAGGCTCTTAAGTAATTTTCCCAAAGTCCTATCTTCAAAGTGAGGAATTTGTTCTTAGACTCCTATCTCCTGATTTTAGGCCAGTTTCTCCCACTTAATATCATTCTCTCCCCCAGATTAATAGCGGCCGCGGTCGAAGCGCCTGTGCTTCCTGACTGGTCGCCGTGCCCACCGTAGGACGAGCTCCGTGGTCCCCTTGGCAAGGCCCCACCACCGGTGCCATTGCGTCCTCAGCGCCAGGGCAGAAGCTTGAAGAAACTCTGGTTCCGGAGCCTCGGCTCGGAAAACCTGCCCCCCGGGGGCTGCCGGCTGCGTACCAGACTGAGGGGCAGGGCGGGGGTGCCCACGAGCCAGGAGGCAGCCCCAGGAGGCGGCCCTGTTGCAGCTCTGGTGGGAGGAGGGCAGCTGCTGCTCAGCTCCCGCAGAGTGCGAGGGCGGGGCTGTGAGGTGGTTCCCTGCTGGCAGTTCAGTGTTAAGGCACTTGTGCAAACAGCATGTCACCGGGCCAGCGTCTGTGACCTCTGCCCGGACAGCCCCGTCACCTAAGCGCAGCAGCAGCGGTTAGTCTGGAAGGGCCGGGCTCAGTCTGGAGGCCCAGCCAGCCCCGCGTCCGGTCGGGGGCCTCAGCCCCCTGCTGCCCCTCCCCCCGCCCGCGCGCCGCACGGAAGGGCCTCTGGTGATCAGCCCGGCTGGAGTGTGATAACACAGATTATCATACTTCTCCAGTTTTAAGTTACCAGCTCTCCTGGCTCCCACATGCCTTTCTGATTATCTATTGTTAGAGGATTAGCTTTCTGGATTCTTGGGATTCTAGAAATTCCTGGTTAGGAGAGGCAGAATTAATCCAGTCCTGTTTTCTGTTTGGCACAAGCATCTCTCCAAGGCACGGAGTGGCTCCCTCCGTTCACATTTGTCGAGCACTCGCACGCGGGTGTTCCCAGGAGATGGAAGGTGGCTCCGGTAGCGCCTTTGTGTTGAAGGAGGTGCACGGCCTGCGGACGGACGGGAGTGGGGGTTGTGTTAAGTGCGGCGCTTTGGGTGCCGCAGTCCCAGCTCCGTCACGGGACCAGCAGGGGACTCCGTGTAAGCGCTGGCTCCCTGACGGGAGGGCACGGCAGCCCCCCGGGATGTGCGGTTTTGGTGATCCACATTCAGTTGTGGATGCAAAATACTAAAGAGGAAATTCCGGGCATGAAAGATTCCTGAGTTTGGGGCGACGTTGCGGGAGCCCGTCCTCTGTTCAGCGACTCCCCGCCGTGCTGCCCGCGCCCGGCAGCCCCTGAGGGGTTGCCTCGGCCCTCGGGTTGGCGGGCGCCT